TGTGTGTGTGTGTGTGTGTGTGTGTGTACGTTGCTGTTGCGCAACCATCTCATCCATCCATTCTGAGTCTGAAAATATTAACTTTGCACAGAGTTTATCACCATAATTACTGTAAACACAGAGGAACTTAAATGTTTGGTAGAACATAGATCTTAGTTTATTTCATAGCTGATATGAAGAAACGAGTCTCTGCGTCTCAGTAGAGTTCACATGACGTGACGTGATCATGTGGTTGTAATAATTGTTGATCATGTGGATGTAGTAATAATTGTTAATCATGTCTGTCTGCTGTGAACAATAATCAGTTTCACATCATGAACAGTCTCTCAGAATCACCTCTAAGTGTCTCCAGTGGAACCAGAACCACAGAACCATGTGACACCAGCCCTGGAGTTGGTGTGGGGCTGCGCACATTTCCACGTTCAGTTGAGTTTTGATACATCCGGATTTTTGCGTAGATAATGACACACAAGGTTTTTGTGCGTACGCACCGTTGATACATGAGGCCCCTGATGATGTATTGCTGCAGAAGGTGGATAGTTAGGCATGCGCAGGTGTTTTATCTTAAATATTTTACTTTTTATTGGTTTTACAATAAAAATATTTGGCATTTTTAAAGTGTCGAGTGGCCTTGGGTTAAAAGTAGGAGCAGATGTCTGCCAGTCGAGTTGGTGGTTAGATCCCAGCATCCTGCCAGAGTGCCCTTGTTCAAGACACTGACCCATGTTGACTCCAATCTGTAATCACTGTGTAAATGTGTAAAAAGCAATGTGTGGGGAGTACTACTTTTAGCTGTTGCCTTGCAGTAAAGCCGGGTTCCCACCAAACGTGTTTGGAGCAGCCAAAATGCTCCTGCTGCATGCGTTTGGCTGCTTGTCAACAGATGTCCGTTCACACCGAACGCGTTTAAAGACGCACAGTGGGAGGAGCGTCTTTGTTCTTTTTCTGGTCGGTTGACATTTGAAATAAAGATAAAATAAATAAAATAGCTTTACTTTGTTTAGTAAAGAGCAAGCAAACGTTGCAAACAGAGCAGATAATTAATTCACCAGATATTAGAGGCGCTCTGTCGGACCTTTTTTTTTCCCAGACCGGGACCAGACTGTCTTTAATGACGGGTGAAATAAAGATAAAATAAATAAAATAGCTTTGCTTTATTTAGTAAAGAGCAAGCGAACGTTGCGCACAGAGCAGATAATTAATTCACCAGATAATTTAGAGGCGCTCTGTCAGACTTTTTTTTCCCAGACTGGGCCCAGAGTGTCTGACAGGTGAAATAAAGATAAAATAAATAAAATAGCTTTGCTTTATTTACTAAAGAGCAAGCGAACGTTGCTCACAGAACAGATAATTAATTCACCAGATAATTTAGAGGCGCTCTGTCAGACTTTTTTTTCCCAGACTGGGCCCAGAGTGTCTGACAGGTGAAATAAAGATAAAATAAATAAAATAGCTTTGCTTTCTTTACTAAAGAGCAAGCGAACGTTGCTCACAGAACAGATAATTAATTCACCAGATAATTTAGAGAAGGTTTCGCCACTCCAGGAGCTGGGAGCTGAGGGACTCCCCCCCGAGCTCAGGGAGCTGCTGTCTCATCACATCCATAAGTTTTGCAATCCGCTCCAGGAGAACACCGTCCTTCACTGTGAAGTTCT